GATTTTCAGTGCTGGAAATCCATTTATCTATTGTTGAAACTTCCACGTCGTCGTGGAGAGCGCAGGTCACGGTTGCTTAGCAATGCCAGGCGCCACGAAAGGGCAAACTCCCGAGCGCTTTGGAAAGAAGGAAAAAGCGGCGTGACTGGCGTTTTCCCACGCGTTTTTAGGAATGGGAACGCCCCAAAGTTTGCATCTAGTGTAGACAGACAGCATCACTGATTATAATGAGTTCATTGTATTTTGTTGCGTCACACCGCACCGCTCCCATCCGGTGTAGACACGGTAAGAGCCACGCATATGCACGTGAACACTGAATTCTGTTCACTTCTGCGTCTATTTGTGCCTGAAATACTGTGATCTGCAAGTATCCTTGTAAACGGAGTTGCTTATGGCTTAGGTGAAGGGAAACAATTGAGAAAGAAAATGGATATGTAACAGTAGCCTATATTGGTTTACAGCAGTTTAATGTTCCTAAGGCTTTCTGTGTTATAAATGTTAATCAAACATCAAAACGCAAAGAAAAATCACTTTTGTAGCTTTAACACAGATTTATTAGATTTAATTTATACAGTGAAGACTATGCAGTTTTATTTTACATTTGATTATTCTGTTTCTGTACCTGAATCCTGTTAGACTAACCTGAAAAATATAAAGCACTGCTTATTTCATTTGTATCTTTGTTCTGTTATATTTATCTATGCTTGTAATTAGTTTATTTCCTATGCTGATTTACTTCCCTACAAAATCACCCCAATCATTATTTTTTTCAAAATAAACTATTCAAGTCATGTGGTGATTTTTTTTTTTTTTTCCATATCGCAATATATATTGCAGAAAAATAAAATGTCGCAATGTGAGTTTTTTTCCAATATCCTGCAGCCCTAGTTGAACTGCAGACGAAGACAGCATAACTTATTTGCTTCATTGTCTGTGTTGTTTTAGCACCTGATTGATTATGAAAATCTGGTAATGGCTCTGAAATACCCAGTTTGGCTGTTTAAAATGCTGAAATTGTGCTCATCTACACTGTGCATATGGTTATGATGGTCTTATCCACTATTGGATCATCATTTAATGAATCACTTTGCCATGATTAATAGAAAATGTACACAAACCTCTCTTATGAATAAAATACTCACAAAATCACCCATCTCACATCTACTAATTGTGACATAAAATATTACAGCATTAACATGATTTTCTGTAAAGCTGCTTTAAAACCATGTGTATTGTGAAAAGCGCTATACAAATAAAATGAGGATGAAATTGTATGAATTCATACAAATTGGACACTAATTTGCTAAAAACCTAAAAAGAATTGCGAACAGCTGTTCATAGCACAATCCTAATAGGTTTTGCACTGAAATACTGCTCGCTGCAAGATGCTGCAACTGTTTCGTAAATTTGCCCTGTATGTGTGTTTGTTGATAATAACATCTTTACCCGCGTGTATCATTTCCTGCCGTACTTGGCGTCCCCAAAGGGGAGGTAGAGTTTGACAGGGGATAACGTCTATTTGTGGCTCGTTAATGTCCTCTCCAAGTCCTGCGAGCACTGCTGCTGTCAGCAGGTCTGTTCAGCTTCAATCAAAGCAGAGCGAATGGATGGCTGCCATTTTGCCTCCTCTAAAACACCCGGCAGTAATGGACTGTCAAAGATGTTTAGGTCCCTGGGATGGCAAAAAGTGGTGCTGCGTTGCATAAATACCACACTGAAATTACTGTTTACTTCCATTCCTTTGCCCTGTAATCACCTTTAGAGTGGCCTGCCCACCACGACAGCAAAATTCAAGAGCAGTCTCAGAGCAGGGTAAACTGTTCATGTTGAGAGCTGCTTTAAACAAAGAAGAAAATGAACAGAAAACCAAATTAAATGTGATTTCTCTGAACATGTGTTTGTATAAATATCTTCTCTCTGCATTCCTCTTAGTTCTCGAAATCCATGGTGCTGGACGTATATAGTGATTACATCAATAATTTCACCAATGCCATGGCCCTCATTAAGAAAGCCTGCATGTCTAAACCAGCATTTCTGGAGTTTCTCAAGGTAAGAGCTGATATTTGCTGTCAATATCCTCTTCAAGAAATGCAAGTTTCACCCTAAATCACCTCTGTCTACTGCTGTGCTGTGCTGCTATATGGATTATTGACTTCTTTCTTGTCTGTTTTTCCTGTTGCACTGCAAACAAATCCTATTATGGAGTATGCTTTTTTTTTACTTTTCCAGTTAGTTCATTCAAAAACAAAAATTCTGTTATCATTTAATCACCCTCATGTTGTTCAAAACTTGACTTTTCTCTTTTGTGGAACATAACAGAAGATATTTTGCAATGACTTTAAAGATATCTCCTTTTTAATTTTAGAAAATAATATATTTAATATAAGTGCATTTAATTTCAAAAAGTGTATCAAATAAGTTAAAAAAGTAAAAATATATTCTCCAAAAAGTCCCAGTATCTAAAGCAGTGCTTCTTCTAAAGCATTTTTACCTTCTTTCAAGAATTATTTGATATTTTAACTGAAAAATTAGTCAGAAAGACTAATTAAAAACACAAGAATTCATTAGACATTAATTTGAATAGTTTTGAGGTTAGTCAGAGAGAGAGAGAGAACATCTTTCGCTTGCAGCATTTCAGGCAAGCCACTTATATTCTGAATGGATTATAAGTGTTGCTTTTTTCTTCAAAATATTTTACCTTGTAAATGTGAAACTGAGGTTATCTGTTCTTTAAAGTTGCATAAAACGCAAAAAATGTGTGTAGTGTTATCATGGCAACAAATTTCCACGGTGACTTGAATCTTTAACATCTGTAAAAGCGACTGAACTCCACAAATGCTTAGTTGACCATAGTCTAATATCCTTGCTTTGAAATCTGCTGGAGGGCTCTCAAGTACACCTACTCCCTGACAGTGCGCAGCCTAATGATTGCCAGAGTCTGCTGGCAGGCATGAACGAATCAATAGTGCAATGCTAACCTCCACCCACCTCTCTGACTCCCCTGAGTGTCAAGATTCTTCTGCTCTGTATGTGGAAATTACTATGTCTGCCCTTTTCTCTTCCTTTGCTTTTCTCTCAATATGTGGTTGCATCTCTTTACTCTTGCAGAAGAAGCAGGCGTCCAGCATTGACCGCATAACTCTCTATGGTCTGATGGTAAAGCCAATTCAGCGTTTTCCTCAGTTCATCCTCCTCCTGCAGGTCAGTATTTATCCATAAACTGTTCACACAGTGCTGTCGTTTAGAGTGCTTGAGGGGTCGTGCTCCTTTAAGTAACTGGAAATTAGTTGCCAAGCAAGTCTATTAGAAGCTGAATGACTGGCTAAGACCATGCCAGGTCTTCTTGCAGCCTATTGACTCACAGGTTTGCTCTTCCCTTGGCTTATGGCCGTGATACAGAATTGGGTGTATGTCAAGACTCCTATCGAGAGAACTTGAATAAACCAGCAAGCACGCACATTGCTTGCATAAATGAGGCAGTTCACTCCAAAACTAACTTTCTTCAGTGAAATCCACAGGAAAAAATTTTGAAGAATGTGCTTGTAACTAATTTCCATATAGTGCATTTGGACCAAAATTACAATTTTGAGTCCCCATTCACTTTCAGTGTGTAAAAATCAATGTTTAGCACATTGTTCTACATTTCTCCTTTTGTGCCCAAAAAGTCAAATGGGCTTGGAACGACATGAGGGTGAGTAAATTACATTGTAATTTTAAATAAATAAACACTTCAAATGTCCATTCTCTCACACAAACAAGTCACGTGCCAAAATGTCAGAGCATTATCAAGATCTACTTCATAAATATCACATTGACCTCTTCAGCCAGTGGGTCTCAGGTGACAGTGAAATGTCATGAATTCACCAAATTTACATCGTCAAACAGTTTGTACTACTGCCTTGATCTCTCTCATGTCCTTCCTTCACTTCTGTTCATTTTTATGGACAAGGAACAAGCAAGGAATTCACCACTGAAATTCCCCATGCAGGAGAAGTGCTGTGGCACTTAATTTCATACCTCAGTAGGCATCGATTACCCATGAATTTTGATAGATATTGACTCACAGGTTTGCTCTTCCCTTGGCTTATGGCCGTGATACAGAATTGGGTGTATGTCAAGACTCCTATCGAGAGAACTTGAATAAACCAGCAAGCACGCACATTGCTTGCATAAATGAGGCAGTTCACTCCAAAACTAACTTTCTTCAGTGAAATCCACAGGAAAAAATTTTGAAGAATGTGCTTGTAACTAATTTCCATATAGTGCATTTGGTCCAAAATTACAATTTTGAGTCCCCATTCACTTTCAGTGTGTAAAAATCAATGTTTAGCACATTGTTCTACATTTCTCCTTTTGTGCCCAAAAAGTCAAATTTTGAAATCAGAACTGAAATTCCCCATGCAGGAGAAGTGCTGTGGCACTTAATTTCATACCTCAGTAGGCATCGATTACCCATGAATTTTGATAGATAAGTTATGAATGGGAATAAGTTTTTTTTTTCAGTGCTCTGGCTTGAGAGTAGCCTGTGTTTAATCACACATTAAACAGAACAAGATCTGATTACAGACTGAGACCTTTATGCGCTTCCTCCTTTTTAGTGACCTGAATCAACCACAAATAGACGCATCTTATTAGAAACAGAAATAGAAATAGAAAGATGTGTTAGGCAGAATGTCTAAGCTGTTCTTTTCTATATAATGGTTCAATATATGTGCAATAAAAGTGTAATAAAACAGTGGCTTTTTAAGTCATTTAAGTTATCGTTTACTCTCTGTTTTTCCACATATCATTCTTATTGCAGTCACAATTGGTAATTTGACATCCACATGGACAAATGACATTTGGCAATGGCGACATCAAACTTGGCACATTTTTATACTGAATACCAAGTAGAGCTGCTTCAAACAAAACAACAGCAGCAACAAATTGCCATTGAATATAAAGAAAACATTAGTCATTATTATGAGCAAATTTTTCAGTATGTTTAGATTACCACGAAAACTACTTGTATTATAGTATTTGAAAATTAGTTTTTATTAACTAACATTAATATGTAGAAATAAAATATAATTATTGCCATTTATAGAACTTTTAAATTGATCAAGCCACCATTAATGCATACAGCTTAGGTGTTATTAATGCAAGGGTGTTATAAATAAAGTACTGGCCTCTTGTACTTCTAGTTAAATTGTCTCTTGACTCCACAAAGTTGTACATTTAATTAATACTGGTATGACAGCTAATATGACAGTTTAGGCTAACAATTTTTTTAATAAAGGAGCAAAGTGCATAACTGGAAATATTAAGTTGTCTGCACTGTCTATGCCCTCTTCTCTCTCTCCGCTGTTTCTCGGAGAGAGTTTGTGAACGATTGTTGTTTCAGTGCATAGTGTGTTAATGATTTCCAGAGGGCTGGTAACATGCTTCTCTCCTGAACGTGAGATGGTAGTTATTCTGACCCTCTTTTCTTGCTTTTGAGTGGGAGTAAAGGTACTAGCAGCTTTAAATGAATGCTAATAGTGCTATAGTACATCACAATGGCTAATGTGTTGTCTGTGCAGTAGAGGTGCAGTCATTAATCTCTTCCATTTAGCTTCCTCAAGTGAGTACCTTTTACTTTTTTACTTTCTTTGCTGTTAGAATCATTCCGTCTCTCTCTGCTTTTAGGATATGCTGAAGAACACTCCCACTGGCCATGTGGACAGGCTGCCCTTGCAATTGGCTCTGACTGAATTGGAGACCCTTGCTGAGAAACTCAATGAGCAGAAAAGGGTGGCTGATCAGATCACTGAGACGCAGCAGCTGGCTCGCTGTGTCAGTGACCGCTCTCTCAGCAAGGTGAGAAAAACACGAGCATGCGCACAGTTACTCAGCTGTGATAGCAGGATGCTGTTGCCTTGATGCAATCACAACAGTGTAATTCCTAATCAGAAAACCATTTCATGGTTTCGTTCCGACTTCCCTGTTCTTAGACATTTTTGCAATTGCTTTTCACCAGCTGGTCTCGAGGTCATCATGTTCACACAGCTTTTTTCAGCTACAGCTGTGGTTCATCACATTAACAATGGACATGTTACACTTGCATTTGACAACCAGAAAGTGTAACAATGCTTTTTGTCTTAATTTTGTCTTATAATGTCTTATTTTATAATTTGAAACCTAAAAAACCTCTTCTTTTGTGAAATGTCTTTTTTTTTTTTTTCATTTGTAACTTTTCCATCTTCATAAATTTTTAATCTGTCGTAGGTTTCAGAATTGTTTTTGGATCCATTGCACACTACCGTTGAAAAGTTTGGGTCAATATTTCACAGTATTGCTGTTTTTTCTGGATATAAATGCAGACTTGGTTAGCGGTATGACTTCTTCAAAAACATTTTAGTAGTGTATGTGTGTAAAGCTAAATCTGTATTAGAGAAGTTTATTACGGGAGGTTCGCTAATGGCCAATTATAACTGCATTACCACAAATAATTCTGAGCAGGGGCACCACTATGGTTTCTGGGCCCCCTGAACACCATATTGACTCAGGCCCCCCTCAGTAGAAATCACATTCTCTGGTGTTTGTGTCGGCCCCCTCTCATATCAGGGCCCTACTGTTAGACCCCTTGTGAGGGAGAGAGAGTGAAGGAAAGAGAGAGGTGTTCAGTTAAAATGTTGATACTAGCTTCTCTGTATATTATTCATCATAAATATTTTATTTAGCATTCCCTTCACCTTATGATTTCATAAAATCACTTCAAGAAAGTTCACAAATTCCCACTTTTGTCCAGCCACAACAGCCTGCAGGCACTTTTCTGTCCATCAGAATGTCAGAACGTGACATGATTAATGATGTAGAACAACAGGGCAGTTTTTTTCAGTCATGACCTCGACATAAGCCATCGATGTTGCACAATCTGCGTTGACTTTTAAATGTCTCACTGGAGCCATGCATCTTAAAGGCAACTGTACACCTGGCTTAAAGTGAAAGCCAGGGGTACACTTCCCCCTGTAGTGAAAATCAAGTTTATGTTGTTTATTTGTCTATATGGCTATGGTGTTTTTAATAAGCCTTTAGACAAACCATGTGCCAATCTATTAATCAACACCATTGCTGAGTATTTTCTCCTTAAAACTGTAGTTTCCCAAAGGCTGACCCAGAAATACGGTTTGTAACAGCCCTCGGTTTGCTACATCACAAACCAATCACGTCAAGGGATCGATTCCTATCACTAGCATGCAAAATATAACAATACCAGCACAAAACCAAAAATAAATTAAAGCAAAAAACCCATGAGTGCCAATCTATTAATCAACACCATTGCTGTGTATTTTCTCCTTAAAACTGTAGTTTCCCAAAGACTGACCCAGAACTACGGTTTGAAACAGCCCTCGGTTTGTTACGTCACAATTCACAAACCAATCACGTCAAGGGATCGATTCCTATCACTAGCATGCAAAATATAACAATACCAGCACAAAACCAAAAATAAATTAAAGCAAAAAACCCATGAAGCTGTGGTTTAATGTGAATTTAGAACCGCTAACTTGCATTAAAAATCGGCACTTCACACGCGCGCATGCTCGCGGGCGCGAATTAAGATTCACAAACGGCTGTATTCTTCAATGCATTTTAGGACACAACATTGTCAAGTAAGTAACTTTAACGAATGTTACAGTATTCACTGTAGTTGTCCGCTAATAAAAACATAGTTTTATCAGTCATTATCCGTGTATGCCATTGTTTTGCGTTTACTACAGTTCAGTGGATCCGGAGCCGCTTGCTGGTGTGACTGAGTGGAGGCGGGACTAATTTGCATATTCATAGATTTAGCGTATAGTAAATGAGGCAAGGGTGTAGAGTTACATTCAAGCTATTTTAAGGCATGAGAAAATTATTTTCACAAGAAAAAACATTTAAATATGTAATTTTGATGATCAAAGATAAGTTTTAAGGGATAAAATATTTGACTACAGGGGGACTTTAATTAATAATCTAAGACTAAATGCAATTTAGTAACATGTTTTAAAGCTCACACTCAACTTACTGTGTGCTCATATGGCAACTGTAGGTCTCTGTCACCTAACAAACAGCCTTTAAACAGCCTGCCAAGTATCTGGATATTACAGCTGACCCTGAAAATAACTGACTCATCTCCTTTTATACTTGGCCTGCATTTTTTATTTCATGGAATCATCAGCTAGCAATGATGGTCCGTTAATGCACTACAGCAGCACCTGAATACATGGCAGGGATGTTTCTCTTCCATTACCATGAGTAAGAGAGTGAATGAGACACTTAATTGGAAAGTTGCTTTCAGTACCTCTTGTTTGGTTCACTTTTCACTCAATTTTAATTTCTCTCTTCGTCTCTCTCTATATTGCTCTGTCTCACCTTCCTCCACTGCAGTCATTTCTCTCTCTCTCGCTCTCTCTCTCTCTCTCTCTCTGGTTTCAAATATATATACATATGAGTTTTTAAATTAATTTTTTATGTTCCATATATTTGTTTAGATATGTTTAACCTGTTAACTGTCACTGGTCATCTAGTGGAAATGTTTGGTACTGCAGCCCAAACAAAAACGTACTAAAAGCTACCGTATTGTCCCGAATATAAGACCATGTTTTTGTCTTGGAAATACATCTGAAAAAACGTGGCCGTCTTATATTCGGGGTCTAGACTTTGACATGCCAATAATACACCCACAACAATAGGTAGCGCCAAAACCGCATAAAACGAGTGTGCCATGAAATACTAATGTAATGCGTGTTGTAAAGATCGCGAGTGAAAACAAAAGAAAACGAATTCATAAAAGCTGCATGAGTCGTGACTGTCACGTTAGCCTGATGGGACTAACTCTACTTCTACTGTTAATAAGATTTTGGTAGGCTACTATTAGATGGATAGCCTAAATATCCTAATTCAGATGGGCTACCTTTTTAAAAAAAAAATTCTATGGTATATCAAGAAGTGTATATTTTTTAAATGTGATTGTTGGTACATTTTACCTGTTTTTACCATACTTTCAAAACAAAAATTAAAATAGGAAAAATATGCAATATGAAAATAATTGAAGACAAAATGTGTTTTACTGAGAGAAAAAAAACAAGATTTGGTTTTTAAAAAGCCTTTTTCCAAAAGGTACATCTGGAAAAAGGGGGGTCGTCTTATAATCAGGGTCATCTTATATTCGGGCCAATACGGTAATTTTTTTGAGATGTCAACCTAAAATTTGGAACACAACTTGTTCATATATATATATTTTTTTTAGCAGTTTTAGAGTTTATCATGTTTTGTAAAAATATATATTTTAAATAAAATATTACAATATTTATACATGTTTTTTTAAGTTTAATTTAAATATTTTTTCACTTATGCAATAATTTGCCAATTGTCTTCTTTAAAAAGAGACCAAATGTAAGTATGTGCTTCAAAGTATTTAAGATGTATAGCAATTTAAGTTGGAAATGTAATTTCTAGGTCTATACTCAAAAAGGGGAACTCAAGCCCAGGGGACAGTTAACAGGTTAAATATGTAGCACTGTTATCCTGTAAGGCACGACATTTCATTCCTTTGTACAGTTGTAGTCACAATAATTAGCCCCCTTGGTAAATATGTGACCCTGGAACACAAAACCAGTCTTAAGTCGCTGGGGTATTTGTAGCAATAGCCAAAAATACATTGTATGGGTCAAAATTATAGATTTTTCTTTTATGCCAAAAATCATTAAGATATTAAGTAAAGATCATGTTCCATGAAGATATTTTGTAAATTTTTTACCGTAAATATATCAAAACGTAATTTTTGATTAGTAATATGCATTAAGAACTTCATTTGGACAACTTTAAAGGCGATTTTCTCAGTATTTAGATTTTTTTGCACCCTCAGATTCCAGATTTTCAAATAGTTATATCTCGGTCAAATATTATCCTATCCTAACAAACCATAAATCAATGGAAAGCTTATTTATTCATGCTGCTTGCTTTTATTCATGCTTTTATTCATGCATGATCAGGAAAACATCTGGTCACCAATGAGCAAAGAAGGCTGCAAAAATAAATCTGCATTGTTTTGTTTTGTTTAACTGATCTTTCATTCAAAAAATTCACAAAACTCAAACCTTTCATTGAAGTAAAATAATTGGTTGTGGAGAAATCATATTATGAAATATTTTTTTCTCATATACGTGTTGGCTAATATTATTGGCCCCTTTTTATTCAATACATTTTGCAGCCTCCATTAGCCAAGATTTTGTCTTGAAATCCTCCAAAACAATTTGTGATGACATAGGAGCTGTTTGATATATATATATATATATATATATATATATATATATATATATACATACATTCATAACTTATTTTTCCTCAAAAAATTGAGAAAAAAAATGCTGTTTAAAGTGAAAAGAAATTTGTAATTTTACTTGTCTGGAATTCAAATGTACAAAATTAAATTTGGAATCTATAAAATATGCCATTAAATTGTATTTTGTGAAATTCAGATATAAAAAATACCATATTTTTTCATGAAGTTGAATTTCAGTTAACATGCAAGAAAGCTTCCTACAGTATGCAGGAAGTTTGACAGCAAGGCAGCTTTTTTCCAGTTGTTTGTTTGATTTTATCTTTATGGCCTTTTCAACATAAAGTCGAGAGTTATAAGAAAGTGGGGGGAGAGATGGGGAGGTTTTGAACCTGTATCCCTGTGTGCACAACCACTCTTACTGTGTAATGAGCATGTGTGCTGTGCATTACCTACTGTGCAGTGGCTTCAACCTTACCATTTTTTTCAGGGATTTCAGCTGCATTCCAGTGTGAAACAGTCAGTTCTATTACCCCATATACACGCAATGAAATAT